GCTGTAATAGACACTGAATCTCAGAAATCTTACATTACGAAAGCGATGTGTGATATCATAGGATATGAACCTAGTGGTGAGCAGTTAATGGTGCATTCTCTTTTTGGTGGAAAAAGTTCCGGGACTGTTTCTCACAAAAAATATCGTGTTTGTCTAAATAGTCTAGACGATAGTCATTCGTTTATTTTTGATGCACTTGATCAGAAAATTATCTGCAACGACGTACCCTCGGTCAGTAGTGGAGTGTGGCTTAAAGAGCTGAAGAATTTAAATATTAATATTACTGACGTTAACAGTAAAGATCAAAGTGTAGCTGTGTTAATAGGAGCGGATGTAGCTGGACGATTGTTGACAGGTCGACTACATAATTTGCAATCTGGTTTAGTGGCAGTCGAAACTTTATTGGGATGGACTTTAATGGGTGAAATTCCTGGAAATAAATCTGAAAGAAAGGATGAAGTTTTAATTACGACAACTCTGTTTGTAAACAATAATGACGTTTCAGATTTGTGGTCGCTTGATATCCTCGGTATAAAAGATCCCATCGAAGTAAAAACAAAGAGTTAACATGATCATGAAGTCACCGAGAATCTTTTAAAAACTTTAAAAGTGAACGAAGAGAATCGCTATGAAGTGCAGTTACCTTGGATATCTAATCATCGGGAATTGAGAGACAACAAAGAAATGGCCATTCGACGTCTACAATCTACTGTGAAAAAATTGAAGTGTGAAGGATTCTACGATGATTATGATGTAGTGCTTAAAGAATGGATCAAAGAAGACATAATTGAATATGTTCCCGAAGAAGAGCAAGAGCAGTGGGGTCGATACTTACCTCATCGTCACGTTTTCAAGGAGGAGAGTACGACAGCACTGAGACCTGTATTTGATGCTTCTGCTGCGGATAAGTCTTCACCGTCGTTAAATGAATGCTTGGAAAAGGGTCCCAACCTTATCGAAATGGTAACCTCTATCTTATTAAAATTTCGAGAGGGTAAGTATGCTGTAATATCCGATATTAAAAAAGCTTTTCTTCAGATAAGTATTGATCCTCGAGATCGAGATTGTTTAAGATTTCTATGGTTAACAAAAGATAATAAAATAGTGATTTTACGAGATCGACGAGTCGTTTTTGGGGTCTCTTCAAGCCCTTTTATTTTAAATGTCGTTATTAATGTTCATTTACAAAAGATAATAGATAGTATAAATAATAATTCTGAAAATAAATATTGCAAACAAAATTTTGAAAAACTTCAAAAAAGTTTTTACGTTGATAACTGTATTGCGACTGTTGGTTCGATAAGTAAATTAAATGATTTTATTAACGATTCTAGAATTGCGATGTTGGAAGCTGGTTTCGATTTCCGTGGATGGGAATATAAAGGTGATGGTTTGCCTAATAACCAGGTAGCAGTATTGGGATTGACATGGAATAAGGAAGAAAACTTTCTTACTTTGAATTTATCTGCTCTGGACCAGTCTTGCGATGAAAAAATCACTAAAAGGAAAATTCTGTCAATGGCTCATCGAATATTTGACCCACTAGGAATGGTTTGCCCAATCATGTTATGCCCTAGAATTTTACTGCAGGAGACGTGGGCGCAAAATTTATCGTGGGATGATATAGTCGATGACCAGGTTATAAATCGATTCTTAAATTGGGTAAGCGAACTAAAAGATTTAAATAAAGTTGCATTGCCGCGATGTATTTTAGGAAATATTAATTCTGATCATGATATTAGTATACACACCTTTTGTGACGCGAGTAAAATCGCATACGCCGCAGTTGTTTATATTAGGATTGAAAATGACTCAGGGGTAAAAGTGAATTTCGTGCAGGCTAAATCAAGAGTGACTCCGATAAAAAAGAATAACTCTGATAGTCATCCAAGTATACCGCGTTTAGAGTTATTGGCAGCTACAATAGGCATTAGAATAACTGAGTCTATAAAATCTTCACTAGATTCTTTAGATTTGAGCAAAGTTATAATAAAATCTATTATTGGTCAAACTCATCAACTGTTATTGCTTGGATTTGTCGCGATTGTAACTGGGGAACTTTCGTAATTAATCGTGTTAAAGAGATACGTGAGTATTCAAATCCTGATCAATGGAATCACGTACCAGGTAACTTAAATCCGGCAGATCTGCCATCTCGAGGTAGTAGTGTATCACAGTTGTTATCTTCCGGATGGTGGGAGGGACCGAAATGGCTTTATGCGAAATATGAAAATTGGCCTAATAATGAAATAAATTATGATGAGCCTGAAATAAATAAAGAATTAAGAAAATCGAAAACGATTATTAAAGAAAAAAGCGCGATATTGATGTCCTTAGTTGTTGATCGTAAAAAATCCGATGGTCTTGAGTTAGATGCAAGGTGTTCGAATTACTGGAAATTGAAACGTCTTGTGGGATGGATTTTTTGATTCGTGAATAATAGTAAAATTGATAAAGAATCGCGAAAAATTGGATATTTGAAGTTCGAAGAAATACAACAGGCTAAGAATTTAATATTAAAAATAATTCAAAACGAAAGTTTAACCGATGTTAGTGATAAACGGATAAGTACACTTCTTCCTTTCACTGATGAAGAAGGTTTAATTAGATTAAAAACAAAGATAACTTTGCGTGACGACTTGTATAATTTTAGTTGTCCGGTCATTTTATCTGGCAATCATGAAATCACGAAATTAATAATAAAAGGGATACACGAGGATTTGAATCCTTTAGAGTCGATCCCGACACCATTACCTCTGAATCGCGTCAGAGAAGCTGCCATTTTTGAAATTGTAGGAGTCGATCTTACAGGGCCTATCTTTCTCAAAGGAAAACAAAAGGCATGAATCTCCATATTTACTTGCGCTATTTATAGGGCCGTGCACCTTGAACTTGTTACCTCATTGTCAACAGCTTCATTTCTACTGGCATTGAGAAGAAACATTGCAAGGCGAGGTAGACCTTCCGTGATCTACAGTGATAACGGTACTAATTTTGGGGGCTTAAATAACTTATTTAATCGTATTGACTTTGACAAACTGGTCCAGACAGGAGCGGTTCAACAGATTGAGTGGATTTTTAATCACCTGCTGCTGCCTGGTGGGGTGGTTTCTGGGAGCGGTTAAATGGAATTTTAAAACGATTGTTGAGACGCACTTTGGCGAAATCTAGTTTAGATTATGAGGAGATGTTAACAGTGCTACTTGATTGTGAGGCTGTTATAAATTCAAGACCAATCACTTTTTTATCTGAGAGTGAACACGAGATCGTACCACTTTCGCCGTCTCTATTTTTACAGGAAATCAAAGAAATCGGAGTAATTGATTTAGATTATATCGAAGAATGTCAGTTAGACAAACGTTATTCCTATCGACAAAAGGTTAAAGAAGATCTCCGAAAACGATTTCGCAGTGAATATTTAGGTACATTAGTTCTTCGAAATTCAAAATGTAAAAATATTAGGAGTATTCGTGTGGGTGATGTTGTATTAATTGAAATGCCGAATAAAAAACGTGTTGAGTGACCATTGGCTCGTATTAAAAGTGTGATTCATGGTAATGACGGCGAAATTCGTGTTGTAAAATTGGATACAAACAATGCAGAATTAACGAGGCCAATCCAAAAGATTTATCCTCTAGAATTAAAATACGACGATGTTACAAAATGTTACGATGACGTTGTAATTGATAAATTTAAGGGAACTTTAAATACTAATAAGATTAACAAGACAGCTGCATTGGAAAAGGTTGTTCGTTCTGAATGTCCACTGCCCGATGTAACGACGAAAAGTGGAAGGATTGTTAAAAAACCAACAAGATTGTCTTACACCTAATTCAACCGGAATAGCTTCAATTTTTTTTTATTCTTAATCAAAGGAGCAACAGAAGATTCAGTGGATATACTTCTGGATTCAATCACTCCAGCAACGATGAATCAATATTCAGGCTGTTTAAAGAAATGGGTAGCATTTGCAAATGAGAAAAATTACAAAATTTTGAATCCAAAGAACCACGAAGTAATTAATTTTTTGAAGTCGAAATTCGACGATGGCGCTAGCTATGGAGTACTAAATTCTTCGAGATCAGCGATATCCTTAATAACGAAAACTGATTTGTCTGGTGATGTACTTTTATCAAGATTTCTGCGAGGCTGTTATAAGAATCTTGATCTGAGATTATAAGAAACGTGAACGTCCAGGCTGTGTTGGCATGGTGCATTGGTAGGCGTTAGTCCCGCGAAAGGCAGCTATTAACTGGGGTTCGAGTCCTCACAGATGCACAGTGCAGTCGTTCACGCAGCTTATTTTTTCAGATCAAAAATTAAATTCAAAAAATATAATTATATACCGACAACCATATCGGAATAATTATCTTAAGAATAACACCTGACTCTAAACCAAAGAGTTCAATCAACGTCTAATATCGCCTATTACGTCAGGATTTTGAGAAAAGTGGGCGTAAAGACCCCAAAAACGCTTTTTTAAAGATTTTCAAAATTTCTTTTCTCTTTAACCTGACGCATTAGAGACTTCCACAAGTTCTTAAGTTAAAGCTTGTAATGTGCACTACACATATTCATAAAATAGAAAAAAATTTTCAAAAAATGGGGTTAAAAACACAAAAAATGTGTGTTTTTCGATTGCGTTAATAGACATCTTGCAATTGCTTGGTTTCGCTTGAAAATAGTTACCCGGGGTTTTTGGGATCGCTGATTACGAATCGGCCATTTTGAATTTTTGAAAATTAATATCGGATTCGTAATCAGTGACCCCGAAAACCCCAAGTAACCATTTTCAAGCGAATACATTGCAAGAAGCCTATTAAAGCAATCCAAAAACACACATTTTTGGTGTCTTCAACTCCATTTTTTGAAAAAAAATTTAATTTTTTTTATTTTATGGATATGGGTCTTGTAGTGCACATTACAAGCTTTAATTTAAGACCTTGTGGAAGTCTCTAACACGTCAGGTTAAACAGAAAAAGAATGTTGAAAATTCTCAA